AAAAAACCAAATGACTAGAAGCGAAAAGAAATAATAAAAAAGCAAAGCATTGACAGGATCATGATCTAAAAGTCAAGGATAATTAGTTCTAATTCGAATGTTGGCATGTATGAACGAAATTTTTCTAAATCAAAATTGAAGAGTGTAAGTGAAAATCCGATAGTGGTTTCAAAGATATATATTATAAATCCTGCTGATAAAAAAAAAGATATAGCAAGATTAGAACCTAAATCTACCACCGACTTAGGTTTCAATTTTAATAGGTTAGAAAGATAAGGCATGAAATTCTGTGTAGGGTGTGGGTGGGTGTCGGGTGTGACTGTGGGTGTGTGGGTGTGGGTGGGTGTGGGTGTGTAGGTGTGGGTGTGGGGTGTGGGTGTGGGTGGGTGTGGGCGCTGTGGGTATCGTGCGAGGTGGGCTCGGGATAGACTCCTTCTTTTAACGCACACCCACACCCACACCCACACCCACGTCCACCCACACCCACACCCACCCACCCACACCCACTACAACACCCACCCACCCGCACACCCACCCACACCCACACACCCACACTCACACCCACCCACACCCACCCACACACCCACCCACCCACACCCACACCCATACTCCACACCCACACCCTGATTTCTTATCTAAGAAGAAAGCAAAAGAAAGTGTTTTTCTATACGGTTACTTGTTAAAATATGGTGCAGCCTTCTAGATGGGACACACCGTGTCGAATGTGTTAAAGTACTCCTGTTTCATTGTTTTCTTATATTTATAATTTATGCTTGCATCCAAGCTATAAGATTATGTTGACGCAAATTAATGAAAAAAAATATTTTGAGATAATTATCATACTTCGATGAATTTTATCCACAATACTATGAAACTTATGGTATTGATTCATGTATAAAAGGGAAAAAAATTGGTTTTTAACAACATTTTTTTTTTTATAATGATTTTTGAGATGACTTGAAACAAAAATTATATTGCTACGCAATGTATTAAATACATAAAGTCAATTATTAGTTGATAAGCAAATGTTCACTTTTCAAGGGAAAAGAAAAATGGCTTAGGTGAAGGCTAAAACAATATTTATTTTTTCTATTCTGTCTTACTCATTTAATATCAGTAGATATGACTAATTCTGTGATATATATATATGCAGATAAATGAAACGAAAGCAAATTCAGTATAAAATATGTTTTGGTTCTTCTTTCTCATTGTTTTAATCAAAGCAGATTCAATAGAACTTCAATGTCCTCCTGCAACTGCATCAATACAACGTCTTCTTGATGAAGCATATATTCCAGGTGCTTCAGTTATTGTTCTCAATCGAGATGAAATTCTCTATCAAAAAGGAATTGGTTATCATTCTCCTCCAATACCAGAACAACGTCAACCAATGAATGCCGTATCGTCAATTTTCGTGTTAGCATCAATTTCAAAAACATTCATTGCTGTTGCTGCTATGTAAGTGGTTGAATTAAATCTTCTGAATCTTGATGAAGATATTAATAAATATCTGCCACCTCGTATGAAAATTATTCATCCATATTATCCAAATGCTATTATTACTACGCGACATTTACTTACACATACAGCTGGTATTGGAGTCAATCTTGCAGAAGAATATAAACTCTATCTTCCTGGTGATGATTTTACAAAAACAAATCTTGGTGATATCATTGAAAAATATCTAAGTTATAATAATAGTTGGTTACCTGTATCACCTGGTCATAATATAACATCTTATTCAAATATAGGAGCAAGTTTAGCTGCATTTATTGTTGAACGTGTAGCTAATATGTCATTTGAAGAATATGTTCAAGAAAAAATATTAAAAGTATTGGGTATTGATAAAAAGGATGCCGGTTATCGATTAAGTAATTTTCAGGATAAAAAAGAATATCTTGTTGGTCATTATGTTTATAATGCATCATGGCTTCAAACATTTCAACATATGGTGCCTCAATTAAATGTTTCCCGAGTAAATTTAAAATGATGTTAAAAACAATGAAGAATATTTTCTTTAAATATTTTTAGGTTGATAATTCTTCTGATTGGTTATACGTTCCTTTTTATGGTATTAGTAGATATCCAGCTGGTTATTTACGCATGTCAGCTTACTCATTGAGTCTATTTTTCCAATCATTTCTTAACAATTTTACACAACTTTTACATAATTTATCTTCTGTTGAAGAAATTATTCATGTTGCACCACAAACAAGTTATTTAAATATGTCAGACAGTAAATATGGTCTTATGTGGTACTGGAAAGTTATAGGTGGACGACGTTTAATTGGACATGAAGGATCAGTACCTGGTATAACAACTATAATGATGGCAAATGAAAAAAGAAATTTAGGCGTAATTATACTAACAAATGGAGATACAGTGCGAAGCGATAGTCAATCGGATGAAGTCCAAAACACAATAATTAATATAACCAAAGATCTATTTGATTGTTTCGAAAACTTAACGAATAAAAGTTCTGCATATCGATCATATAACTTTTTTTTAATCTATGGAATTATTAGTATATTATATTTTTTATATTTAATGTTTTGATTATGATTTAATAAAATTAACTAATTAAGTCATAGATTATCTGAAATTTACCATAGTTCACTAAAATGACATGATAGTTTGCAGGGCTCGAACTGGGCCACTATTTTCTGGCCCGGTCCGGCCCAAAGCGGCCCATCAAATCTGCAGCCCACCAGGCCCAACTTGTCGTGTTTTCGGCCCGGCCCGGCCTGGCCCACCAAATTTGTTGGCCCGCCCGGCCCGGCCCGACCTAGGCCCAACGAAATTAGTTTTAGAAAATATTTTTTGCAGAACTGATTATAACAATAAACGTCGTATTTCAAAAGAAATTTCCGTAGTGTACATCAATAATTTATTGATGAATTTAATGACATTGGATCATTAATGTAATAACGAAAAAAGAAATTAGCAAGTACCACGAAAAACTACTAGATGTAGAACCAGTGAAAATAATACACTACACATGAAAAAAATCAACATTTATCTGAGAAAAGATTAGGGTTATTCATTAATGGTTTTTGTATGGAACGAACAAAAGGAACATCTTCTACCGTATCTGGATTCAATGAATGAAGCTAATAAAAAAAATTAACGAACAGAAAAAAGTTGTTGTTGATTACGTGTGAAAGCCACCATAAAGAAAACAAATAACAGATTTCATAAACAAAAAAGTTATTTGCTTACTCTACTATCTGGTGATACTTTCATAAACACTTCCATAATATATATTTTGTTATAATTTCTGAACCTGAAGACATCTATAAAATTTAATAAAAACAATGTTGTTGGGCCGGACCGCCTGACAAAATCTTCGGCCCGCCCGGCCCGTTGGTCTTCCTTGGTTGGCCTGCCCGGCCCAACAGAAAAAATTCGTTGGCCCGGACCGGGCCTTGTTGGGCCGGGCCGGGCCGGGCCGGTCCGCTGGGCCGGGCGGCCCGATTCGAGCCCTGATAGTTTGTGTCATTCCTTTTATTATTTGCAAAATAAATAAAAATTCTTATAATTGAGCATATAAACCATCGTAGTCAATCTCAATGTCTCGATAGTATATAGTTAGTGTACCATTTAATGCCAGTACTAACTATTTTGATAGAAGTAGCTTTATGAAATCGTGAAGATGAGTAACGTATCAATCGTTGGATATTGTTGTTTAAAGCAATTCTTCTTCATTATATATGAAAAATTTTAAATTCAATTTATCACAGGCAGCTGTTAGACAAATATCTTTGATAGCTTTCTAACAACTTCTACAAAGGCCTATCTATTTTAAATCTATTGAAGAATCTTCTTGGCTATCAATCTCACTGATCCGAAGCAGCATTGTCGACTGATTATTCTCGTACTCATGTGTGCTTCTAAAATATTGCTATCCATTCTACCGCAGTCCCCATCTTTAATATAATAAAAAAAAGAAAGCTAGCTAAGAAATGTCAAGCTTATCATGAAGGTCTGTGTGTTGTATGTCATTTATTCTACAAAGAAAAGAAATGACAACTACTGAAATACTATAAACTATTTTAAATAATCATCATAAATAAAAATACGGAAACATCGGATTTAATTCCGAATGTTATGTGTACTTCGAAAAGTAAAACGAATTGACGACAAATTGATTTTAATCAAACTGTCTAGAAACTAACTATCTTGAGCGTATGCTCGGCATTTTAACCTTGTCTGGTGAACGGTTTGGCCCTTTGAGCCAAAGAAAGTCTCAATTGGACAGAAAACAATTTAGTCTATCAATTCATTCTACTCAAGTGAGTAGGTTATGAGATGAAAGAAGTGAAATAAGTCAGAAACTGCGTAAATCCAACCAAATACTACCTTTCGAGAGGCGGTATTTTTGACTTTTCTCACGTGATGCACTAGGCAGAGGTGCAGAATCTACCCGTAGACTGCAGCGTCGCTGCTGGGAAAAATTGAGAAGGGAATAAATCTTGACCCGAGGGTAAAATACACAAATTCATTGAATGAGAAACTAATCGTAACTTAAATGGTGATATCTCAATCTTTGAGAGGGAAATTTCAATTTCTTTAAAAGAAAAAGTTAATTGTTCTTGTTAATGAGGATGCTCTGATACACTAATGCTGAACTATCTTGTTTCCAAGCGACAACTGTATATACATGAATGAGCTAGAGAAAATTGAACACAATTCGAAGAAAACATGATGAGAGAGAAAGTATATGAATCATATCCAAAAGACAAAATGTTTGGGGAAATACCTGAAAACGGGGGGAAGGAAAAGAAAAGAAAAGAGCCGAAGATAGATATGTACGTTATACGCGTCATGTATGCACAATCATTCTACACTCCACGTCGTTGTCTCTATCGAAAGCCTGTAGCTATAGTATCAAATCTTTCTCAGTATTCGTGATATACTCTCTGTCGTTTATAAATAGACAACTTCTGTTGAAATAAAGTATATAACTATCCAGAAACTCAGATATGAATCTTATGGATTGCGAGAGTCACCTTGCAAGAATTTAGACCTGTCTTTTCAATATTTCATTTGTTTCAATTTTTTTGGTAAACTTGTTCAATATATTTTGTTTTAAACATTAGACGGTAAAGTAATAGGAAATAAGTATTTATCAATTGAATCTAAAACTGCTATTTAAATCAGTTTTCAAAAAACCATTCAGAAACCAGTTCGAGCTTTCGCGGACATACATTCAGTATTACTAGGAATGATATCAACATTGAAAACAAGATAAAGAATAAAACGAAGAGAAAAAAGAGAACCAAAAAAGCTGATAATACAAAATATAAAATGTATAAAATAACTACATGTCTTAACACTAGTATATCTGACTAGTAATTACTCGAAAAACAGAAATTATTTCATTAGATATATTGATATTAAAACATGTAGTTATTTTATACATTTTATATTTTGTATTATCAGCTATTTTGGTTCTCTGTTTTCTCTTCTTTTTATTCTTTGTGTTGTGTTTAATGTTGATATCATTCCTAGTAATACTGAATGTATGTTGGCGAAAGCTCGAATTCATTTTTCAATGACTTTTTTAAAAAGCATGATTTTAATAGTACTTTTGTATTTAGTTAGAAGATCGTATATCGTTAAAGAACATCGATGAGTAAACAACAACCCCCAAGCAAAGAAGGAGTTGAATGCTACTACCGTGATTGGAAAGGTAGAAAAGACAAATCACACGATCATCGCAAGAATTATCATCCAAATGAAAAATATCGATTAAAATCACAACCTGGGCAGCTTCCACCTCTTCAGGTCACATGAATCGACTGCAGCCGTCGACGATACAGTTACTGCATCTGTGACCAACAGTCCAGTGACTGTTTTGGCAGCCGATCAGTCTACACGGAGTACACCAACGACACCAGTAACAAGTGATACTAGTGTAGTCACTCAACTGTCATCTATTCAAAAACAGCTCTATACTATCACCCAGACACTCATGGAAAATCTAATTTTAAAGAAAAATACAGTTCTCCTAGAGGCTTGCGATATGCGAAAAAGTGGTCGAAGAAAAGCAACGAGAGCATGATGCTTTTATTCAAAAGAATCGTCAAGCCGGAATGAATGTTAGTCGAGTGGCGTTATACTGTTTGAAAAGTGGTCTTTCTGGGGTACAGTTTGAACGGGAACTAAATTTGCCGCACTTGTCAGGCTCAAATATAGGTGCAATTCTGTAAGAACTATATCTATGTTTCTCTTCATCATCTAGTCATATTCTATTCTAGACATTCACGGTGGTTCTATGACCGTCTAAGGACTATAATGGCACAGGTTATGAGAGATTGGGTAACAAATTATCTCACTAAACATATAGATCCAATTCGCAAGCATCGAGTTCCATTTGCATTAACTTTTGACGAGACTACATTCTTACGTCGAACAGTACAGATTACTTTATGTTTGACACTGATCGATGGTGAAATCACCATTATGCAAAACAGAATTGGGTGGCAAGCAACTGGCCCATAATATTTTGCGTGTACTAAACCCCCCACACATTAGAAGACCCCCCTCATCCCTATAGTCGAGATGACCCTTTCTTGAATCAACAACCCAAAGGATAGATTAGAGGACCTGCTCACCTGCTTCTAAGGGGATCGTCAGAGGAGATGGGTGGGTCTTCTCATCTATCCTTCGCTTCGTTGATTCAAGGGAGGGTCATCTCTACTACAGGGTGGGGGTCTTCTAATGTGTCCGGGGGTTTAGATTTGTTTCGATTCTCACACGAAAAATTGCAACAACAACTCGTTGGTGGAGCGGGTGATGGCCAATATATCCATGGTGGAGTTATTTGGTTGGATCTCACGCGAAGTGCTTATGAACGAGCAATGGTTTATTTTTACATGGGATATGGCCCATCGCCTTGAGTTAGCTGTGAAAGACTTGAAGCATACAAAAAATAAATATCAATCAACTGCATGGTTAGTGTCTTTTATCAGAATCTGCTCCAGCGTCATGGGAAGATATTCATATGGTAAGAAATATAATGAACTGTTGCAGATGGTCCACGATTTGACCGAAGGCTTGTTAGATCCGAAACGATGTCATAACGTACGATTTGTGAGCTCAGAAATGCGCGTATACTCTGCAGTCTATCGAGACTGGCCAATGTTCTATGAGTTATTAGAAAAGAAATACCCTTTTAAAGATAGTTCCATTGATTTGTATTATAAATACCATACCGAATCCCGAAAACAAAAAAGGCCTTCATATATCTTTTTAAGACTGGTCCATTGATTTGTATTAAAACTATTCTAGCAAATCGTATAAATAGAAAAAGGTCTTTTTTCTTGTTTATATATTCCTTCGGATAGAAGAAAATCAGAATAAGGCAGTGATCGACACCAACTGACTCTTACGTCAATATTTGAGCAAATGACCGTCGTTTGAGAAATATTTCCTTTTTATAGGGACTGAAAAGTTAGTCTAGATGGATGCGACAATCATAGTGTTTTTGGACTAATGAGTCATGACACTCTTTGTTGAGCGATAGATCTTTACTGTGGTTGTTCGGTGGTGAATCATCGTAGTCTTTGTTCAGTAAAATGTCGTCACAGGCTTTGTCCGGTGATAATTAGCGTGGTCCTTTTAATTAATAAATCATTAAATAGTTTTTATCTAGTGATGTTTTAACTGTTGATAGAAGGAAAACATGAAAAACAAAATAAGTGGCATTGATTGATTCCACAATGCTCCATAATGGTTGTGTTAGTCATATTATTGTTCTCTTGATTAGAGATTTTTAATATATTTACTATGTATTCATGTAGTCAATTTTCTAATTCAGGTGATAGAATATAAAGCTTTTGCCATATATTTTATACAAGTTTTACTGGAAACGCTGTTATCATTAGGGGTGTTCTTTTTTTGTTATTTTTCTATATAACAAAGAATGAAGATAGATAAAATCTTTATATTTATAAATAAAGTTAAAAAAAAAAGTTCTTTATTCTTTATAAAATAAAGAAAAAAGAAATTGTTTTTCCTTCAAAAGTTTTTTACTTTATTGAAGTGACTAAAAAAAAATATCATATTACATAATTACATATAATATATGATAACATTTTTGGGTGTGGGTGTGGGTAGGGTGTGGGTGGGTGTGGGTGTGGGTGACGGTATGGGTGTGTGGGTATGGCTGTGGGTGTGGGTGTGGGTGTGGGTGACGGTTTGGGTGTGTGGGTATGGGTGTGGGTTTCAGGGTGTTGTGAAGAAAACTATTCATACCAAGAGCCACACCCACACCCACTCCCACACACCCCACCCACACACCACTCACACGCACATCCACACACACATCCACACCCACACCCCACACCCACACCGACACCCACCCTCAAGATGGGTGCATATACAATTTTTCTAAAAGAATGCTGTGCACTTCCTGCTACCCCTCCCCCACCCCGCTCGGTTGATCACATCTCTGTTAATAACTTAATATTTTATGAAGTTTTTTGTAAGAGTGATTGTGACTGTACTTAACGTGAATACTGATATCGAAGGCAATGACATTATTTCCAAAAAGAAAGCAGTGGTTCCTGAGTTTCAGTGAATGACGTGAGCTTGGGTGAACTAGGATGACTTCGAAAATTCATTAGACATTAATAGAAATCATTGAAATTCACAGAAAATCATGCAAATTCATTGGTATTCAGTAGATTTGCGACGACTTTCGACTAATTCGGGTATGATTAAAATTAGTTGTTTCTCCTTTGACTCATTCATACCTGCATTCATATACTACACTCAAATATCCTACAATAAATTTCTAACGTTTCTTCAACGCTTCGATACTCTGACAGCCTCTTGAAATCTGCCGAAGTCGCTTGAAGTCCTCTGTTTCTCCTCGACCTTATTAGACTTAAACGACGTCGACAGACAAAGTAGGAAAGCGACCGACTCCCGCGAAAGCAATTCTTGCGTATATGGAGTGAAACTTTCTCTAACTATGTTGGGCGTCATTTTAGCTCCCAATATAAATTTCAACTACATGAAATACATCTTGGTTAAGAAGAATTTTTCTTCTGAAAGCTATGACTGCATACGAAAAAGAACATGAAGGATGCTAAGATAAGAATGGATTTATAAATAAAGATCGAAACACTTGCCTTCTACTATTCCTACACATGTCCACTAAAGATTGTATTGTATCTATTCTTTCTAAGCGTGTGGACACGGTTGGGAGCGGCTTGATGGATGGTTCATAAACGTTGCACAAGGGAGAGCCGGTCAAATATGGAGTATCGATTAACAGCAGAGCATTTGGTTCAAATCATCTCTTAATGCCACTTAGGAACGCGTGGAGGGTTCTTTAAAATATGTCAGTATAGGTGGCCAAGGTGACGTATGGGGAGTTAACACTAAAAATGAAATTTATTTCCGAAGCGCCTCTTCGAATATGAATCCGAGAGGCAATGAGTGGACACGTATCGACGGCTATCTGAAACAGCTCAGTGTTGGTCCAGATCGTCGGGTTTGGGGAATCAATTCAGCCAACGAGATTTATCATCGAACTAGTCTCTATGTCGGCTGGGAATGCATTACTGGTTCCCTCACTCAAGTCACTATTGGAGCAGATGGCTCTGTATGGGGTGTTGACTCTAATGAAAATGTCTATCGTTGCACAAGTAGCACCTGGGAGCCGATTGATGGAAAGTTTATTCAAATTTCAGCAGGCTCAGCGGGAGAAATATGGGGCATAAATAGATTGAATGAGATTTATTATAGAGCAGGATGGAAAGCCCACTGACAACGTGTTGAAGGAAAATTAAGATTCATTCACGTTGGTTACAAGTGTCAAATTATAGATTGCAATGCGGAACAAGAGGTATTCTACTGGGCATAACTACTAATTCATCTTGAGTAACGATTTCTGCATGTAATATTCTAAATATATGGTTTTTAGTGTGGATGGGTGCGTAAAGAGAAAAGTACTCAAAAACAACATGCTTGCATAAAACAGATACAAAGTTACTACTATATGTATTTTCCAAAGTCCAAGCAACGAGTAAATTCTTGTATTAAATTCTGCCTTAACATAGCGGGTGTGGGTGTGCGTGTGGGTAGGTGTGGGTTTGGGTGTGGCTGTGGCTATGGGTGTGGCTGTGTGGGTGTGGAGTGTCAGTGTGGGTGTGAGGGTGTGGGTATGGTTGTGGATGTGGCTGTGACTGCGGGGTGTGGATGTGAATGTATGCGTGGGTGTGGGTGTGGGATGGCGTGGATGTGAGTGTTGGTGTGGGTGTTGGTGTGGTTGTGGATGCGTGTGAGTAGATGGAGTGGTTGTAGGTGTGTGGGTGTGGATGTGAGTGTGGTTATGAGCGAGGAGAAGATCCACACCCATACACCCACACCCACACCCAAACCCACATCCACGCTCACACCCACCCACATCCATATCCACACCCACACACAGCCACCACCACACACCCACACCTACACCAACATCTACACCCACACACACTCTCAATGTCCGTTGCAAGTTGCTCTACAAAACCGTTTGTGACAGCATTTACAAATACCTTGTTTCAGTGATGCGACAGATGTTGTGAAGAAGTCAAATGAGGTGTAATTGTGATCTCACTTATATTTCTTCTATATCATTCGCATGTTCAACGAAAACTTCGCTATTTTGGTTTTTCAACAACGAGAGCTTCAATGATAAAATGTCAAGTATGAATCTTAATCCGCAAGTACTAGTGTGACAAGTGATTGGAAAAATCTCATGCTGTGTAAAATTCACCTTTGGTTATAGTGTCGAGTTGCATGATTGTTCTATAGAAAAGAATTATTTAAAATAACAGTATGCTTCTTTTCGATCACATATTCTTATTTTTATACTTTTATCATTTCTCATTCAATGACACACTTAATTAGATCATCAATATTTTCAAACAGATTTTAGTCTGGTGTTAAATGACCTCATTATTTGATATCACATACAATTCTAAAAAATTCCCACAGAACAGAACATACAGTGAGAGATACATATTTCTTGTATTTATTATTATGAATTCCTTGTTTTATCAAGAATCAATAGAATGAGATTAAATGTCTAAACATACACTTGATTATTGTCCTGTTTTTTCTTACCACAAAGACAAGAAACGGATTACCAGTTTTGTTAGAATCAATATTATTCAAAGTAGCATATTCTATTTGCCATTAACCACCTGTAGCCTCATTCCACATCTGTGCAAAACTTTCTGGTGAGTGTCGCATCATTTTACCTCTTAAAATTCGGGACGATATTGATTTTTCAATAGGTACCAAAGCACCAACCTGTCGACCAGCAATAGCTCGTTTCACTAAACGAGAAAGTAGTCGACAAACATCCTTTTGAGTTTCGGCATCGAAAAGATGGAGGAATGAACTCGGGTAGAGATAGTCTGCTGGTTCGATTGTTTTCAAAAATTGATCGTCAAATATGTCACCGACAGTAAATATCTTGTTGGCTTTCATCAAATCACCATCGCGAAACAATTCATAACCTTGTTCGATGAAGAATGGATCTAATTCATAACCACGAATTCGATCAAGTGGTACACCATCGTAGATAAGTCGTCGTCGTAAATCTTGACCAAGACAGCTTTCAAAATCGATTATTGTTGCACCGTTGTTCTTGCATTGTTCGAGTATTTTTCATAAATTGGATTTTGTTTAATAGAAAAGTGAAGAAAACCCCAACGACCTAGACATGGATAGTTATGTCTTTGCCAGGCAGCTTCACGCGCAGAAATCAAATGATCAAGTAGTGCTGAGGGTGAAATAGACGCATAATTAAGAAAGAAAGTTTCAATATCCTGATTGATTGATGGTTCATCAATGTAAAACGAGATTGTAGTTTCATCCGAATCACTCGTGAACATCTTCGAAAATAACCAAAAACAAAAAACATTCAAATTTATTTCGTCAGAGAAACATTTCTAATAATGTTTTAAAATACACTTTAGCTATTTACGTACCTGATTTATATATAGTTATGTTATGGCTAGATTCAGTTTTATTATTGCCTATATAATACACTATGTAATAAAGAAAAGAAACAAATTTATGTTATTATAGACTCACGTGCGCAAAGTGTAGAACAAAATGAGAAGCAATCTGCCTACAGTCATGTATATTGAGAGCAAGGTAGAAAGGAGAAGAATATATGAAAATTTAAGCACCGATTTACTACACTTTATGACCATCAATTAATAAAACATACTCTCATAACAGTAAATATCGACTGCTAAAGCTATATCTATCATTCGATATTCACAAACTTGTAATAATATTTTAGACAAAAAAGAAATAAATAAATTGCATATCTCTACATAGAAGAAAATAAACATAATCATAATTTTCATCTGTATATGGAGGACTCTAGAGGTCTTTAGCCGATGCGAAACGATGAAACTAAGCTTTACAGAATGAAAACCAAAGCGCACTCACAACATCTTTTTTATATTATTTTATGGATATACATGAAGAATAAATACATTGATTTCAAATTTTATACTCATTTTTTTCTATGAATCTCACATTTATTTGAACAATACATTATGAAGACTAAAAACATATATTCAATGTCAAGAATTGACAATGTGCTTATGTGATTTTTTTTGTTTTATATTATGATATGATTACTGAATTGTCTCAAGTGCATCTTCTCAAAAATAGTTGAAAAATTCGACCTAGGAACTGTCATAGAAGAATATTTGATATAGTTTGTATTTCAGAAGTATCTGCGAACAACTTAAATTTGTAAAACTTTTTTGATTTGCTAAAAACATACTCTGGTAACATTTACTAGAAATGGCTCTAACGATAGCTACTTTAGTGATCATCGCTTGTATTTAGAATCATAGTTGTAGAGTGAAAATAACTTGTACAAGTATCAGACGCATTTATTTGCCTATATTCTTAACAGAAAGAACATAATAAGGATGAAAAGAGCATACATATTCAAAATTTCACATGAATAAAACAACTATAATCAGACTTTCATCAATATAGGATAAATAAATAAACTTGTCTAAGCATTTGATATTTAGAGGAAATCTGATTTGTGAGAGTTTGCCGGAGAACTTGAAATGACGACATTTCGTTAAGATAAGCACCAAGTTCGTTAGCAGCTTAAAGCATACGACATGACCTCGATTGACATGTACATAAGAAGTTTTTTGTTTTCTTTTTTCTACTGTTTTCAAGTTTCATGTAGAAGACATGGGTGGTGTTAGATAATGATTTCCTTTTTATCTTTCATCTACAAGAACATCTACAGTTACCCAACTCTCCACATCCATAATCTCAAGATAAACTTTTCATTCATATCAGAGATGAGCACAGGACGGGGCGGTGCGGTCGTCCTGTATCCTGTCCTGTCCTGTCCGGCAGGACAGGACGCTATTTAAATTTTTGTCCTGTCCTGCCGAGCGGCAGGATAGGTTTGCACCGTGCGGTGACCAGGGCAGGACAGAACTAAAATTTCTGCCCTGTCCTGGTGTGCGGCAGGTTGAGGTTGACATAGGACAGCACAGGACTGGATGGAAGATGTTGTCCTGTAGTCATTTGTGATATTTATCATCATTAATAACATTAGATATTTGTTACCACTGATAGATGTCATTATTCTTTATATGTAGAAATGTGATTATTCCCGTATTGGCCGATAAGATAATTAAATCCGGAGAAAGAAAGAATCTATACATAACAAATGTAAACAATGTATATCTATTGTTCTTTGTTCTCTTATCATAATATCGCCATCTCGTCTTTAGTTTTGCTTCATCTTGAACTTTTTTTTGTACTCTGTAAATAAAACAACACATGGACTTTATTGAAGTATTTTCTTCTGAAGAAGTTTCTTTCAGTTCAGAAAAACTCAAAGTTCTTTTACAGACAGATATAAAGAACTATACAGTTATCAAAAATCAACCAGCACTAGCAGCACGACCATTATCCTGGTGGAGCACTTTCGATTTTCCTGCTAAATTAGATGAAAATAAACAATATAAGCGGATTATGGGCAATGTCAGTGGTTTCAAATGTTATCAGACATTTGTTTATTCTTCTAAAAGTGGAACAACGTGTTTAAGAGAACATCAAAATAAATATGTAGGTAAACTTAGTGCCAGATTCGAGTTCTTACCGTCCGAATTCGCTCCTATACTTGAGTTATATTTGATTAAACTTGAGTTAGGTGCAGAATTTTACGGCGAATCTGATGGTGTAAAGATCAAGGAGGGAGTCATCAAGCAAAAACTGGTACTTGACCCCAAATAGGGTATTTTGTCAAAATTTTTAAAAAGTATTTTGTGTCCGAATTCGCTATGTTACTTGAGTTGGGTCTCAATATGGTTTAGTTAGATTCAGCATGAAATTCTGCATCGAATGATATCAATATCGTATGAGATATGTCGGGCAAAAAATTTTCATGTGGGTGATGGTGAGGAGTCTGCATGAGGATACGGCTGGGTACGACGAAAAATTTTTTGCCCGATGACCCCATACGATATTGATATCATTCGATGCAGAATTTCATGCTGAATCTAACACGAATGTAATGCTCTTCGCCGAAAACAAGATTGTCGAAAACTCACATCGCCGACTCGACGTGGAAATTTACGGTGAATTTCCACGTCGAATCGGCGATGTGAGTTTTCGACGATCTTGTTTTCGGCGAAGAGCATACTTACCATCTAACACAACCATTTTAACACCCAACTGAAGTAACATAGTGAATCCGGTCACCAAATACTTTTTAAAAATTTTGAAAAAATACCGTATTTAAAGATCAAGTACCAGTTTTTGCTCGGCGACCCCCCCCCCCCCCCCCCTTGATCTTTACACCATCAGATTCGCCGTAAAATTGTGCATCTAGCTCAAGTTTAATCAAATATAACTCAAGTACAGTAGCGAATCCGGACGGTAAAAATTCGAATCTGGCGCTAACTTTGCCCGGGTAAAATAAATGTACTAGATCCATACCTTTATCATCTATTATAACGATTGATGAATCCAATACTTCATCATCATCTACAAATATCGAAGAATCCGACACATCATTATCTTCTATATTAAATGATCAATCCGGTAATTCATCTTCAGCACAGTCTACTCTTCCACAATATGGATCTAAAAAAACATTGAAATTAAATGAGAAGGATGTTGATCAAATAAAGAAGTTGTGTGCGCAATGGGTGTGTAAAGATCTTCGTTATATAATTTGAAAGAGATGCAATACATGCCTTATTTAACAAAAGATTAAACATGCATTGTTTTTAGCACATGTGTCCTGTCCTGTGGAGCGGCAGGATAGGATTGTGTGCGGAGACCAGGGCAGGAAGAAACTAAAAATTTTGCCCTGCCCTGCTGAGCGGCAGGTTAAGATTATAGCGCGCGGTGGTCAGGGCAGGAGGAAACTAAAAATTTTGTCCTGACCTGCTGAGCGGCAGGATAAGATCATAGCGTGCGGTGAACAGGGCAGGACGGAAAATCTCGTCCTGTGCTCATCTCTGCTGTAAAATAAACAAATATTTCCATCAAAACTTCCACAGGTAAATTCTCTAATCGAGTAATTATTGAATAATCCATCTTTCTCTACAATTCTTATATCACAATAAAACAAACTGAACACTTAGGTTGGTTTTATAGTTCACGAAAACAATTGCCTTTATTCTACCTGATTTCACCAATCCGATCAAAGCGCTAACAAGACGTTCAGTTAAAATGTATGTAAACAAGCATTTTGCATACACGGCATCTATCGTACTTGGAAAGTATCATGTTTCATATTGGTTATGTAGCAGATTATGAATAGAAAGCAGAAGCTTATCGACAAAAAACTCGGGCGTATAGGGTGATCCATTATTGGTGCAGTTGATGAATTCTATGTACATAATCGTGAACTAGCACCATCAGACGTTTACAAGTTGTCAAATCCTTAAATTGAATACTGAAGAAATTCACATTCGATTTCGACTTCAACTGTTAGTTTCTCATTGATTAAACGAAACTATTTTTATTTCACATATTCGAATCTCGAACCCACCAATAATGCAGTTCTTCGTTCAAAAACAAAAATATACTCGATGTCTGACATAACGTTCTCTTTTTTCTTTTCATTTGTCTAATATAAAACAAATGATTAGATGTTTAACAAGTCATACGAGGGTGTGGGTATTCAAAAAAAGAGATATCGACACTCACACCCACATCCTCGAGACAACTTATTCTCTCATGTTTCGATCGAGAAAATGTCTTCATTGAAATTTACTCTGCCAAAGCGAAATTCTAATATGAATGGATCAACTTCATCGGTAAGATCAATAGCTTGCGATGAGAAAAGAAGATTATATTTTGTTTGCCTCTAATACTTGGAATTGAGACAATGGAAGACAAAACAATAAATAAATGTAACTGATCCAGGTGAAAACGAAAGTTTTTGTTGAAGAAATTCGGCTAATCAGATCATCGTGAATAATCGCTTTGCGACTTCAATATCTTGAATTTCGAATAGTCAGTATCCAAAATGAGATTAGATTTAAATCAAAGAGAAAATTGAGTTTACTGGTTCTAGTTTAATTTTTGCTCTTTTTTCAAAATGATAATTTATTCATCTTTCTCGTATTGACTATTATCAATTCAATGGATTGTTTTGATTAATCTAACAAACAAGCTCAATAATGAAAAAGAAGTTTCATCTCTTAATCTCTTAGTAGACTATTGCTTATCAATCGATGAAACCAATATTTATCAGGATTGTTTGAAATAGAGCATGATTATTTTATGAATTTTTGTTTGATTATAGCATCAATTTGCTCGATAGGCATCCGTTTTTATCCGAATGCTCGATGGCTACAAATTAGTGTCAATGTTGCTAGAGGAAATGGACATGGCCAAGATTTGAATCAATTCAATTGACTATTCGGTTTGATTGTTGATGATGAGCAAAGTGAAGGTGTGGGTGTGGGTGGGGCTTAAGTCTCTCATTAATTGATATCTACACTCACACCCTTGCTATATTCGATGGAAATATTTCGACTACACCCACGATTAGTAAACAAGGTTATCATTGGAAATAAGGGATCAAAACTGCTGACATCTTTTTTATTGATGATAATTATATATATTATTCAAATTCAAATTGAAAATAAAATGTTTCCAGAATATGATAACTTCCTTTCCTATTTCTATCCATTATGGTTTATGTTTCGATTGAGTAGTTATTGAATTGTATAGAAATATTGTCTGATGCGATTGTATATTGACGATAAAAACAAATAGTTTGATTAGACAAAGTTGATGAAGTTTTATATTGGATAGATATGGCTTTATTATTTTCTTCTTTTGTCGTGCCATCAAATGCATCAAAAAAATTTGATCTGAATTGTTGACACAAGTGTCGTTCATCATTATGATCAACAGAGTCAACAAAGTATCATACTGTGAAATTTATTTCATTTATTAGAGAAATAATAAGATTTCGTGTTCTATGTTTTACTTTTTCTACTTCTTTTTTAATGCTGCATCTATAAAAAATATTTTTGCCTCTTCTCATACGCATATTTAAGAATGAAAAGAAAAAAAACAATCTAGCAATGCAGAATTATATGTTATCAAATTATCTTGCGAGAACAAAATAAATATTTTATTTTCATATGAGAACAAAACATATTTGTCAAGAACGTAAAATAAATTCATCTTATATTCTTTAATAAAAACCTTTGATTATTAACACAAGTTTCTCATTCTTTATCCACCATGGTATGCAGTCGACTACAGTTCTTTATTTTTCTCTTTTA